AGCGACAGGAGTGTGTTTAGAAAGAGACGCGGCGGCTCGCGGGCGGGGGAGGAGGAGGAAAATGAGGAAAAATATCTAAGAAAGGAAAAGAATCTAAAAACATAACTTCAGAAAAAACCCTCAGAAATCTGAATAGCCCATGAGAGATGGGTTCAAGCTGTAAGATGAATTCGCACTGTTCTGTGTTGCACTATAAAAGCCCTCCAAGAGTGGCAGTGGTTCCAGTTGGTTAGAAAATAGTCTATAAGAAGAGCAAAGTGAAAACAACAGAGTCCTCTTCACCCTAAACCCTACTCCTCCTTACTCATCCCCAAACCTGACACAAGCATCAATGCTCATGACCGTCACAGTCTGAGGAGGAGAGCACCATTCTACCTTTGGATGTAAAGGGTACTCATGCAAATATACTCTCTGATGACTAACTCTCCACCTCTGTCCCCGAACTTCACAACAAGCAGTTAAGAATTATCAGGAAAACTTCCTAAAAAGGCTAACCTGAAGCACTGTAATAACTCTTAAAAGACTAAAACAGAAACAAAAGGTTCTTAATCCATCTTTCTATGAAGAGGCCCTCTGGGGTTTGCCTTTTAAGGAAGTGAGCTACAGCTCAGCAGCTGCACCATGTGTGAAATATTATAGCATTTGTTTTTAACTGCTGGATGAGGTGCCTAATGATTCTGGGGAGGTCTGGCTACTGCTGCAAGCACTCCACAGCCGTAAGGAGACAGAGGTGTGTATCCAAATTTACAATACTTGTACCTCTGCAGGAATACAGGGTATTTTTATCCAAAATTCAGTTTTCAGTGGATTCTTCATAATGGGATATGAAGAAGGAAGACACAGAAACAATACAGCTCTGAATGGGGAGACAACCTTATGGTCCTTTCCCACAGGAGCACAAAGATCCTTGCTTAGATTTAATCTGTGGGTAAAGTGAAGGACAAAGGACCAATAGACAGGACCAAGTATATCCTGATGTATCAAGGCCAGACAACTTGCTTGTCATCAGGTTATCTTGCCTAATAAAAAAGTGGAAGATGTAATAGGAAGCTTCCAGAAGGCCCCAGGAAGCTGGTGTTTGGACTACACATAGCTATATATCCTTAGCAGAGAGCAGGCCAAAGAGGGCAGAAAGAGACGTGGCTAGCTCAAAGATAGGTAGAAAAATGAGTAAGGACTTAGTTATGAGCTTAGAGTTTTAAAAAGGAAAACAGAGTCTGAACTGAATGAAACCCAAGAAAAAATGAAGAATAAAAAAAGAAAGCTGGTAACTCATTATGTATTCCCCATGGGCTGATTCTCCAGGCCTCGGCAGTCACAATTCTGCTCTTCCATATACGAGATGCTGCTTGCACCTGGGGAATCTTTAGGATTAGCATCCATATCTTAATACTTCAGGTGGTAAGCATAATCAAACATTCAAGAAGAAATCTCTCTACCAAAAAAAAAAAAAAATCCTAACATGTTCCATATGCACTGGGCTGGCATTTGGATATTAAATCTGCAACACCTAACTCTGCCAAAATGTTTCCCAAGGCTCCAGAAATAAAATTCCTCATTGTGCCCTCACTTGACTGCCAAAGGGATCCTTTTTATCCCTTCTTTTGACCCTCCCGCACAAAAGTTTCCAAAGATGGAGCAAGCACCCAATTTCACATTTGGCAATGCTAGAAACAACGCAGCAATGGCATTGAAATGTTTGCCATTTCTACTTGTCTTGACACTAATTATACACACAAGGCAGCTTCATCTGCACTGGGCAGAATGGCTCAATGCACAGCGGAGTTCAGTGCCTTCAGATCTGTGCATTTCCAAGCGAGTCAAGCGTGCATTATAACTGCAGTCACAGCAAGTTTCTGATGTGCTTCTCCAAGACCAACCCCTCCTTTTTATTTTTCTTATTTTTCCCCCTTTCATCTTTTTTTTTAAATTTTTCCTACAAAACATGAAGTTTCTCTGAGACAATCAGAGCATGACTTCCATCCAGTTGTTTCATGAGCCTAAGCGTGCCACCCGCTTTTTCACATTCCCTTTTATTCCCCTTTTGTATAAACCCTCCATTATCAAAATAAAATAATGTCGTTTACAAAGTACCACCTCAGCAGCATGCCTCAGCCCTCATTTCACAGGGCTATGCCAGCAGCCACAAACAGAATCAAAGCATCCAATTAAAAATCCATATTCATTAACAAACACCATGTGTACTATAATGCCCTGCATTGACTATGCCACCACAGGAGATGGGAAACTCGCTGAGTTTTCCTGCTCTCAGTCTGCAGCACCCTTTTATTAAAGGAAGAGTTTTACCTTTGCTACTCCACAGGCCGGCAGGAAGAGGCCCAGTGTCCTGTTAGCCCATTGGGCTAGGACAGCAGAAGTGACAGCTGTTGACCTTTTGCCTTAGAGAGATGCCAGACACAGGACCTTGCCAGGATGAGAAGCACACAGAGAAGACCATGAAACCGTGCCAGACCTTTCCCACTGAGGTCTTTAGGTACCAACAGGGCCAGTCACAAACCAATCTGTGGCATTACAAGCAGCCAACGTAATAAACTCTGCATATGCTTGATTGATGCAACTCATTGGCTAGGCAGGGCCAGATCCAAGCTGATATAGTAAATTAGCATATTGCCTTTGGCTTCAGGGAAGTTACCTTGCTTTACACCACCGACAATTTAACACTGCAGAAAGGCACATACCATAAGTACAATATTTCAGACCGATACAATGAAGTTATACGAACACATGCCAGGATTATTTATTTATCGGTACCCAGAAGCCTGAGATTTACAACTCTTAATAAATACGACCTGGGCAATTTGCTTTCTATTTTTAGCTGGAATGCTTTGTGCAGGGAACAGCTGTCAGCCACTGGGAGCTGTGCTCCTCAGAGCAGCAGCTTCAGACAAATAGAGGCCTCTTAGAATTAAACTGGAGAACTAGGGTCATTACTTTGTGGTGGGGAAAAGAAGCTGAAGATAGTAGACAGCAAGAAAACATAAGCACTTAATAGAGAACCACTCCCAGAGCTCTTCCAGCCTGTTCTCCTAAGAAAAGGAGCCTTACATGATCACATTGCATATGTACGAGTGTGACTGTCAATTCTTCCTGAATAGCTTCAGAGCCCACTGTCCAATTCTGATCAAGTTCAGCAAACATTCACAAGATGCACAGGTAATATATTCCTACTGCCTCCAAGAAGGCAGGCAGCTGGGTGACAGGGAGAGATTCTGCTAACATCCTCACTGTGGAAAAAACTGTTGTGTGAACTCAGCCTTCTATCAGACCCAAAGCTATGCAAACCCAATAGGTTTCCCATCGACAGGAAATCAGATCTCATCAGATCCGCCATCTTCATGCAGACACTCACCTTGGCACACGAAGGAAGATGGTGTTTCCCCAGGGTGGACTCGTGCAGTGATGAACACCACTTTCTGTTCAGCCCCTGGACGCAGGTTTGCTGCAGCAGAAGGGGGTGGCAGTAGGCAGAGGGAAAAAGAGAGATAAAGATCCTTAGACTGGGTGTCCCATATGTAGAACCCAAAAGGCCATTAATATTAAAGCATATCCTTTCATAAAAATTGGTCATACATTATAAATAAGCACAATCTATAATAAAAGAAGGCAGCATCACTGAGTCTCCATAATACTGGGCCATAATAGCAGACTGCACAAGGGCTGCAAGACTAATGACATGTAGCCAAACCTGCAACAACAAAGTTAGGTCTCTTTTTAAAAACCAAGATTTACTACAGTGAGTTTAACTGCACTGTAATTGCTCTCTCACTTGTGATAAATGTGCCCCCGGGGTGACAAGAACAACAGTGGGGGTCCATTCACAACGTAAAGCCAATGCGTTATGCTTGATACAAGCCTTAACAGTGCCAAACAAGGGTAAAGTGCTAACAAATGACATTTATTAGGCTTTGCTCTAGGGGATTTTGGGATTTACTTTTTTTTATCTCTTAACTATTTGGGACTGCATCTGCCCTGACTTAAAAGATGTTCAAAACCAATAAAGTATGGAGAAGAGACCAGGATTAAATCTAGCAACCTTCTCCATTGAGGGCATGAAAATGTGCCAGGTCCCCTTCAAATTACAGATAGGTGGAAAGGAGACTTAGATCCCAACTACACTGAACCTAACGTGGGTTAATCCCCCAGTATTGAAATCATACTACTTTGGCCACTTGCTTCAGCCGTAAACTACATGGGTCAAGCAGGATGTTTTCTCTGTTTGTGCAGTGACTGCATTTAATAAACAGGAAATAAAAATTACACTCT